ACAATGAATAGCCCCTCCATATCGATTTGGTGGGGTACTCTATTCAGCTTTGCTCTTTGAACTATTTATACCAAAAGGAACCAAAAGGTCATATATTTAGGGAAGCCAATCAATGTATTGATTATCTAGTTGCTTTATGTCACTCTATTAACGATTTTGTATATTTTGACAACAGCCCTCATGGATTGGGTTGTTCCTTGATGTCAATGTAAGGGGGATTTCGTTTCCTTGGAACTAGTTTGTATTGTTCCTCGTTGCTGGACTAATGATCTCTATTTATTCACCCAAAAAAAAAAAAAAAAAGGTTGGGCACGCAAATGGGCCTGATAATTTATTTTGGAATGGGTTTGGTTTCTTTGGGCCAAAGCAGCCCCGCATTGGGCTTTTTGTTTTGCATGGGCCTTTTTTCTTCTTTTTTCTTTTTCTTTTTTCTTTTTGTCTTTTTCAGTTTGGCCATTCTTTTTCCAATTTAAGCATTTTTTTTTTTTTGTGAACTTAGTAAAAGTGTTATTATAAATGTAAAGTCATTCAACTTATTCCATAGATTAAGAACTTATATTCATACAAATACAGTTGAGCATAAATGTATACTAGTTTAAAATAGAGTCAATCGTAACATTAACACTAAAATTACTAAAAAATTCACACATCGATTTTTGTTGGAACTTTCATTCTAGAAATCCTATGGGTTAGGATTTTTTTTTTCTCTCTAAATTAAGAGACAACATTGTTGTGATTGGGAGTTTGAGGATATCTTCTCAAATTTTTACTTGGGGGTTTCTATGGTTCTATTGGGGTTTTGTCTTTCCTTGCTCTTTATTTTTGCTAGAGTGGGTGATGGCTTGATTAGAATAAGAGTGATGGATGGCATAGGGGACAAGTGTGAGGATTTGGTGGATGCGATGAGAAGTCAATGTGAAGGATTTGGTGGAGGCAATGGGAAGTCATTTGCAGCTTTATATAATAGAGGGATAGGATTTGGTGTTAAGCAAGGTTGTGATGTGGGCTAAAGTGGTGATGGTTTGAAATTTTGGGATGTAGCCAAAGGATTTTAACTCAAAAGCATTTCAATGTTCTAACCATGGAGTGAACTTTCACAAAGGTGTGGAAATCAGCAAGAATTATTTATATGTGAGGATTGGGTAACAATTTTTTCTCTCTTTTGTTTTTTTATTTTTTTTTATTTTTTTTATTTTTACAAGATGAATATGAATCGAGTTTTCTTAGAGGGGCTTTAGCATTTTGAGTAGTATGTGGTGGTGTTGAAAAAGGTAGTGTGGGATGAAATATCGAAGCAAGAGATAGTGTTGATGGTCCTTTCTTGGGTTCATATTTATAAAGTGCCTTTTAAGAAGGATGGATGTTGTGACAATGAGGCAATTGGGAGCCTTTAGGCCATTTGATGGCAATGGATAAAGGTGTAGGTTGTGCTTGGAGTATAAATTTCCTTTTGATTAAGGTGGAGGTGGATATTAGATGCTCATTGATAAGGGGAAAGATGGTGCAACTAGAGATAAGCTTAAGTGTATGGATAATGTTAATGTATGAGAAATGGTTTAATTTTTATTATACATGTGAATTCTACAATCATGTGAATTGGGATTGTGATTTAGACTCTAAAATGATATGTGAAGGCATAGAGTAGTAGATAAGGGTGGGCAAGAGTCAACTACTCAACCAAAAAGCAAAAAATAATTGACATTGGGTAGGTTTTTCACCAACAATGCTCGTTCAATCACAAGAGGCATGGTTTAGTTGTACAACCAAAGCCTAGTTAGTTGGGCTTTTATGTTGAAGCCCAAACATTGAAGCTCGATAAGTGCCTCTTCTAACTTGAATTGATCTTGGTTTGTTGTATACTTAAAGGTTTTGATCTAGTGTAATCAACCTATACTTCATTATGCTATAACACACTACCAACCTTTGTTTAGAAAGTGGAAGAGTTGCAAGAAAATAGAGTAACCAATGACTAAAGAAGAAAAGTCAAATAAGGGTCTCTATTTTAGACATAAACTACTCAAATAACCAAAAGGATGTTGTTTGCTTGTGGGATTTTGTTTTTCTAAAAAAAATAAAAAATTCATGTAATTCAAATTGAGTTTTATATGGAAATTATTTTACCATATTGACTAGTACATTAAAATTTGATTGAAATTGCCAAAATTTAACCAAATCTAAATTCAACCTTATATCATATTGGATTAAGTGTAAAACTGATTGGTATAAAATAGAATCAACAATATATCTTAGTGGTGGCTACCCTTTAGCCCTAATGGCTCCATGAAGAGAACAAAAAAGGTCAGCTAGGGTTAGGGATTTGCTGGCTACCTATCTCCATCTCAAATCTCATTTGTTTCCCCTTTTTGTTAACTTCTTTTGCCCTATATTATGTACTTTACAAAAATAAAAAGTGTTTATATTGATTTGTGAATAATGAGTTTAGTGATTAGATACCATTCATCTAGTTTAGGTCTTTTCACTTATGGCACATCGAGAGTGTTAAGAGTCCTAGATTCCTTCTTAATCATTTATGCATTTGCTTTGTTCTTATGGTTTATTGATTCGAGTATGTTGAAAGAGTTCTTCCTTTTTAGTTGTAATTCCTCGTCTTACTCTTGAGAGTTTCTATGGAATATTTTAGAGGACAAAGTATACTTCGAGCAATGGAAAAACCTCTTATACAGGGATGTGCATATCTTTATCTTCCTTGAGTTGGTGATAAGCTTTGACAACCTTATTCACATGTCTTATATCTTTTCCTAGGTTTGTTGATCTTTAGCTTTTGTTTCTAGGTTATGGTTTGCATTTGAAACTTTGTGTTATGTAAGGAACTTTGTTTCTTTGTTAATATAATACCCTATTGAATTATAAAAAAAAAAAAAAAAACTATGGGTGTTTGATGTAATAATTTAAAACTAATGAGTTCACAATAAATATATAAACATAAAAATAAATGAATAAATAAAAACAAACTATAAGTCAATCTTTTTTTGTTAAACAACCCCTAAAGAGGGTAAATTGGAGGCAAAACCTCACATTAGGTCTCCAAACTTTCCTTAGATCTTAATTAAACTCATAAACTTTTATTGAAGCAAATAAGGCCATGAACTTAGCAATCTAAACAATTTAACCCTTTTTTTTTTTATAGACTTAGCTCCCATTCATGTTGCATTTACATGGCAACAAATTGACATTTCTTTGCCTATGTGCCAACAAATTGTCTTTCAAAAACCCAAAGTTAAGCTCTCAAACTTTCCCTATTTTAGAGAGAAAGCCCTTGAAAAAAGAATCAAGCATAAAAGCCCCTAAACTGCATGATTTGAGCAAATTATCCCTGCATCTAACAATTTTAAACATGTGTCATGACATAACACTAAGTATTGTTTATGTGTAGTTTAGAAGAAAATGATCAGTTACTATTTAGTGCTTTAAATTACTTCAATTTAAAATTAAGTAAATTCATCAGACTTTAAATCTTTCCCAAATTATAAAAAACATAAAAATTTAAAAAAAAATTCAAAATCCTCATTGTTTCTCCTTCACTCATTGTCTTTTCTTTCTTTTCTTTCGTCTCAATCCTCCCTCCTTCTCTTTTTCTTCCTTTCCCCTTTTCTTGGTAGTGGGTTCTATCATGGAGAACCTTGTTCACATTCATAAACCTAGATCTCATGTGGGTCTATTAGTCAACCTTCTCTCTCTCTCATTTAGCTCTTGCTATAACATAGTTGCCTCATGCTTGAAGAATCCATTGTAAATTTGTTGAGAATTCATCAATTTTGTCACATTCTAATGGCCTTGTTGAGGAGAAGGAGATTTTGATTTACCAAGTTGCATCTTCTTCTTCAGCTTTTTTTTTTTTTTTTGGAATCTTTTCAAGCTAATTGAATGTCCTAATTGTGTCTTCTTCTTCATTCTAATTTCTTAAACTTTGGTTGAATTTTCATGGGGAAATTAGTTTGATTAGTTTGGATTTGTTTGCTACACTCCTGCTTTAGTAAAAGGGATTTATTTGTGCTATTTCATTTTGGGTCTTTTGGTACTCTTGAGGACTTATTTATGTTATTTCATTTTGGGTCTTCTGGTACTCTTGAAACTCTCTATAGTTATTGATTTGTTGGAAATTTGATTTCTAATACTATGATTTTTGGCTCATTCAATAATGTTCTTTGGCTTGTTGAATAGCTTGAACAAGAGCTTTTTTGTTTGATTATGTTTACTCAAGTTAGAACCCAATCGGTATGGATTTTAGTTTTGATTTTATAGTAGTTTACTTTATCATTTATTGTATATTTTTACCATTTTTTTGACCTTTATATATTTTCACCTATTCAAATTTTGCAATTTGGACATATCTGTTTTGTGAGGAAAAAAAAATGGAATTCAAGGAAATTCCATAATGTCATCATGTAGCTAGTGTCACTCTAACTGAACGTGTTGAATGCAATTAAAATTAGTTTTTTGTTCTTCAACTTCATGAATTAGTTTTCTTGATTGTTGTAACTCTCATAGACGACAATAAGCATTTGAGTTAGTTTCCTATTCTTTGCTCTAAGTTGGTTTAACTCCACCAAAATTTTGTAGATGGTGACAAAGAACAATTCATCCATGATGGTGAAGGAAGAACTTAAACAATCTAAAAATGGGTACATGATCATATTAACGAAAACAAAAAAACATGTTTTCATTGAAGTAAATTTAACCCTATACAAACTTCCTTTCTTTTTTTAATGCTTTTTGCATTTAGGTGGCTACAATAGGCAGCAATAATCTCGCCTAAAGAGAATTCATTACCACGTTGGCAATGACATGTGAATACTCTGCCATGCAAACATAATATAAATGAGAGTTAAATTTGCTATAAAGAAGAATGTTAAATTGCCCATATTGCTAAGTACAGGAGTTTATTACTTTATTTCGTTCAATAAAAACTTAGGGGCATAATCAAGAGTGTTGCCGTAAGTTTGAGAGCTTATATAGCGTTTTGCCTAAATTAGACTCAAACCTCACGATTCACCCCTTTAACCCTCAACCCTAGGCCACGCCAGTCAAGCCAATAGCTGGTGATGCTCCTCCACTCAGCATAAATTTTTAGCTATCAACCAAACCCAGACGCCTTCCTCAATCCCCTGCCTGTGGAAACCCCTAGCAAACTCGAACTTCCGACAATTTACAATAGAAAGAAGGGATGGCAGAGTCACAGAAGAAGAAACAAGTTCATCTCTTTTACTGCGTGGAGTGTGAAGACCTTGCCCGCAAAGTCGCCGTTCAATCTGACCTCATCATCCTCAAATCCATCAACTGGAGGTCTTCTCTTTCTTTTACTCTGTTTTCTCTTTGCTTTCTTTGCATTATTTTTTGAGGTCAACATGTTCATTTCTTGCTTAGCCATTCTGTTAGTATGTCAAAAGGGGAAGTGCCCAAAATTTTAAATAAATAGTTAAAAGATTTTCTATCTCAGCAAAACGAAGGAATTTTTTTTTTTTTTTTTTTAAGGGCTTGGTGTTTGAAGAAGAAAAAAGAAAGTGACATTTTTCTCACCTGTAATGCAATTATGCAACAGGAGTTATTCCAGCTCATAGGGTTAACATGTTTTGATATCAGGAATTTCGATGATGGATTTCCGAATCTTTACATAAACAATGCACATGATATCAGAGGTCAGCATGTTGCATTCCTCGCTTCCTTTAGCTCCCCAGCAGTTATCTTTGAACAACTGTCTGTCATATATAACCTGCCAAGGTTATTCGTTGCTTCCTTCACATTGGTTTTACCATTCTTTCCAACTGGATCCTTTGAGCGAATGGAAGAAGAAGGGGATGTAGCAACTGCATTTACCATGGCAAGGATTTTATCTAATATTCCCATATCAAGGGGTGGTCCAACAAGTCTAGTCATCTATGACATACATGCTCTGCAGGTATGTTTTATATGGAGAAGGATTATCAAATTTGTTCACTGTAAGATGTTTATTTGTTATTTATAGTTTCTTTTAAATCATTTCCTGAAAGCTCCACAGACGTTTGTTAAGTATTCTCAGGCACTTATAGGAAATTACACTAATTATTTATTTTGAGTGTCAATATGATCTTTGCTTTAACTAATCAAAAGAAAAAAGATGTCAAGTACTATATCTTATGTCTACATTAAGTTTTCGTCATGCCACAAGTCCATTACTTTCCTGTAAGAGTTCCTACATATGATGTTTGGTTCTGTTTCTTAAACATGACTAAGAAAAGGTAAAAAAATCTACCACTTGCACTGAAATTTGAAATTTTACTGGTAACCCATCAAGCCCCGTTATTTAAAAGCAAGTAGAGTAGGAAATAAGAAAGTATGTTAGTGGGTCATACGTCTTAGTGTTTCATATTTTGTGGAAAATGTGATAGAACTAAAAGGAATAAACAAGAATTCTTCCTTGGTGTGTTTGGTATGCAAATGAATTGTAATTCATTTCATTTCCAAATGAATTCATGTAAATGAATTTTCATGTTTAAAACAAAGCTGTTTTTATTCCCAGAATCAAGCACTAGAAGACATCATTTTTGCGGTATATATAATTTCTTGTTAAAATTTTATATTGAAACAGACCTTTGGTTATTCAAGTTAATTTGATGGGGGATAAGAAACATGCATATCCTGCCGTATATGATAATAATTAAACGTGAAATATACTGACACCAAAATGATTTGGTTGAAACAATTATCATTGTTCTAACTACTTAGTATCTGTTTTGTTAAATTTCATCTTCAATTCAAACACTTTGTGTAGGATGAAGCCCAAACTGAGGAGTATGCTTCCAAGTTTGTGATTAAGTGGTTGAGGAACACTGCTGCACTTAGTATAGTCTTCTTACTGGCAGTTTCATCCTCAATAAAATGAGGGTTATTTCTGTACATCGTGCAATGATATATTTTCAGTGTAGTCATTGTTAACATGGTAGATTGCTAGTTTAAGAAATATTCATTATTCTTTTTTGGTATGTCAGCTGATGGGCTGTACAATAGGAGATAGCCCTCCCCTTCCCAAACCCCTCCCACCCGTCCCAATATTTGAACATGAGACCTCCAACATGGAGGCTCAAGTTCTTAACCTCTAGGACATCCTTTAGAGGAGAGAAATACTGATTATTAAGTTTCAACAATATTCCCAACAAATTGGCCAAAAAAAAAAACAAGGAATATTCATAACAGCGAAGCATACCCTAGTTATTTCATGTTTCTGTTATATAAGCAGGTACTTATTTGTTAATTTTCCTTACAATGCCAGGAAAGATTTTATTTTGGGGACCATGTTTTGCCATTATTCGAGACTGGAATTCCTCTTTTAAAGCAACGCCTTCACCAGCTCCCTGATGCTGATAAGGTGAGTTTATCACATTAAAATGCTTCCTATTAATGTAAGGCCTTGTTCCTGTGTCTCTCAGAAATTCTGGTGACCATCTTTGACATGAATTTTGGTTGTTACCTTGTTTAGTGCAAGGGCATATACTTCTTTTTATGTGTTTTGTGATTCTTACAGTGAAATTGGATTCATATTCCAGATTGTTGTTGCATTTCCGGATGATGGAGCTTGGAAGCGATTTCACAAGTTGTTGGACCATTTTCCTATGGTCTGTTTTGATTTTTTTCTCAAATGAATTTAAATGGTATTTAAACTTCTTTTGTTTCGTGATCTAAAGGTGCATGGTGGTTAATTGACAGGTGGTTTGTGCAAAGGTTCGTGAAGGTGATAAGAGAATAGTTCGGATCAAGGAGGGGAATCCTGCTGGTTGTCATGTGGTTATTGTTGATGATTTGGTGCAATCTGGAGGCACCCTTATTGAATGCCAGGTATGGTGTAATAATCTCTTCTCATGTTACTTTTTTTTTTCTTCTTTTCTAACTGTTTTGTTCTTTTAAGGGAAGTCACATTCATTTATGTGAAAAGTAAAAGATGATTTTTCAAGCTTATTACAAATTTCCTGTTAACTTCTTCAAGGAATTGTAGATGATATAATGATTTGCTACTAAGGTGCCTTTTTTCTTCTCTTCTTTCTGTTCAAGCCCCTCTGTTTTTGTGGTTACTCATTCTGCAGATTTTATGAAACAAGAATAATGTTCAATTTAAGTATTTAACCCTGTTAAAGGAATGTTATTTTGAAACATTTCAAACACTCAATAAACTGAACAATGTGACATAAAGAAAGTTTGTCATGGATGTACATTTCACATGTTGGTATTGTCTTGGATTTGCACGTAAATAATTGGTAGTCCTTTGTTCTTCCAGAAAGTTCTGGTAGCTAATGGTGCAGCAAAAGTAAGTGCATATGTAACCCATGGTGTTTTTCCGAAGCGCTCTTGGGAGCGATTTACACAAAAGAATGATGGTAAGTACTTGTACGTTCTTATCCATTGATCTCTTCTAAACTCATTTATCTTATTGCTACAAGATTTCATTTGTCGCAGGTCCAGAGATGGCATTTACTTACTTTTGGATTACGGATTCTTGCCCACACACTGTCAAAGCCATTGCAAATAAGGCTCCTTTTGAAGTTCTGAGTCTTGCAGGATCCATTGCTACTGCTCTACAAATTTAAGAAGCATACTATTATGTATAAGAAACTATGATTACGAAGTGATGCATACCTACAATTGGATTAAACCTGTCTTGGCAAGAAAAAACCACTGTTTTTTGCCTCATAAAAAATTGCCATACTTCTTGCTTTAATATTTTGTTTGAATCACTTTCATGCATGACATGCAAATTGGTTTACCCTCATTTCTTGGTAACTTCAATCATTTAAGGGAAATTTGGTCCTCCTAGGGAAGTTTTGGAATATCATATGGTGAAAATTACAACAAAAAATGAAGAAAAGGAGAAAAACCAGCGAGCACTATAGGTGCAAATTGCAGATGTGAATTCGTCAAGTATCTATACAAACATAAATAATTTCGGAGACAATTTCACATACAATGAGCAGGACCAAGTGTCTGTTTATACCCTTTCTATACATTTTGGAAAAAGCACTTAAGCTTAGATTCCTCCACACACTGATTTACCATATAAACAAGCAACCATATCTGCAGATGAACACAGAAAAACTGAAGACCCACAGACGATAAAATCAAAACCCATGAGGATGTAAGGTCATTATGCACAAATTGGCGAGCAGAGCACACCACTGCAAGAAACTTCACTCCTTGGTTCTTAGCAACCAGCCTTGCCTTATTCTTCTCCTCATGGTTTCAATATCAATTGTTTCTCTACATATAAACAGAAGCTACTTGCCTCCTTTGGCTGCTACTTCCCTCCTTTGGCTGCTACTTCCCTACTGGATTATATGCAGCATCCAATAGCTGAAAAGTGGACACTGCCTTCGAAACAAGCATTAATGTCTGTCATTTGGTTTCTCTTCCCACTTTATACACTTAAAGATAGTACACGATAGTTAGTACTCCTAGCTGCTTTTTATCAAAGCTAAGAGTCTGATTTCCAAATGCATTGTCAATTCTTCTCTGGCCTCTCATCTGGATTGCCCTTTGGGCTATCCAGTGAATCTGCAGAATAAGATCCATCTGGCTGACGAATACATATGTTTAAATTGCTAGAGAGAAAAGGTTCCTGCAGGATTCAGAAGACACCAATAATAAATTGTATAAAAGAGTTCATGAACCTTTAACTGAAGAAGGGAAGCTTCTATTTCCAATGGTTTATATTGTTGGAATTAACTCTGTTGACAATGATAATACAAAATAATGAAGCACATTCTAATGTTCAAAATGCCTAAAATTATAAATTATGTTATGTTTATTCAATTGCATCATTTCTGCTGAGTTTCTACAAACACATCAACCATGGCTATATTAATTTTGATTTAATGCAACATGTGGGAATTCATGTATCTAAACAACCTATCGTCTACAGAAAACTCACTAGTCTGCTCTACTATTTCACCATTTTTTTCTTAGAAAGCGGGTCAGACATGGCATTTATCAATGTTTAAAAATAGCAAGCATATACAATAAGTGTAAATAAACAATTGCTAAGAGAAGTCAAACATATCTTCAAGGCTATAGAAATAAATCTTGCAATGACATTTAAATTACTTGATTAGAAAAATTGGAGGTAGCAAAGTATTGAAGAAGATAATGTGAAAAGTGCTCAGCTAGTAAGAAATGCCAGTGAAAAAGCAGTACCTGATCGCCAGTCTCTTGGCCTTCAGAGTGGAAGAGAATTGGCCTGCATCTCTTGTCTTCATTCATCAAGCTTGAATTTTGGAAGTGTGCCACAAGGGCTGCCTTTCCCTGGATTCGTGCATACGCTAATGATGCAACTTTCTCACTATTGAACTTCTCCCATTTCTTACCATTAAAGGCCTGCACAAGTTTCCAACAAAAAAATAATAATAATCAGTGTTGTAAAAGGCGTGCCTAGGCAGTGCCATTCCGCCCGCATCATCCTAGGCTCTAGGTGATGCCATTCCGCCCACAAAAATTCAATGCAGTTTGCACCACCCAGATCAATTAAGCACGCCTAAGCACTATTAGGCGTGCTTAATGGCACCTAAAGTGCTTGAGCAAATGCTTTTTATTAATTTTTTAGTCTAATGAAATGATGTTGTTTAATTTGTCATAAAAATTATATTAAAAAAAATTAAATACCAAGTAATTCCCTTAAATTCTGGTCTTTAGACATGATAATGAATAGAAAAATGTTTAGTTTTTCTATTCATTTTATAATTTTTAAAATTGTTTTACATTTTTTTCTTATTCTCTTAGAGTTACATCAAAAAATTATTATTAAAAAAAAACTGCCTAGGCCGCCTAGGCACCACCTAGGCACTTTAGGCTCTAAGCTGTGGGCAACCGCCCACCATTGCCTAGCGCTTTCTGCAACCTTGATAATAATAATTCAATTTATGTTTAAGAGAATAATCTCTTCCAAGAGCAAGAATATAAGAAATAGTTCCAGCTAGGATCAGAAAACCAACTAATTCACTTTTACTCTAGACAATGTTTAAAATGATATAATTTAATGATAATGTATAACAACTTTTAGAAACTAACAAAGGGAGTGCATGTTGAACCTGATAGAAGGAAATAATGTGTGAAGGAGATATCATATTTATGAAGGCATAACCCACGTTGCACTTGTTCTGCAACCAGAGGAGTTCAATCATTAGCAGCAATTTCAACTTGATGTAATTACATTTACATATCAAAGGTCCCCAAGACTAGTGGTACCTTGAAATCAATTGGCAAGTATAGAAAATCATAAGTGCCACGGTGATTTTCATCAATAGCAGCCAGCAGCATCTTCGAAGTATACCTTAAAGGAAGAAATCTGAAGTTAGATCATTGACCAGCTAAGCACCTAGTGTGAAAACCTACAAGCATTGAAATTATTTTACATTTCATAAATTTTTCATACTTATTGGGGATATTTTTAATCATTAAGGTGGTCCTAATATCTTCTCCACTAATTATTTTGTCCAAATCAAGCTGATACTGCTTCTTGTTATCTATCTGGGCACCACTACTTTCAACTCGTCGACTTCGACTTCGTTCAATTAGTCCTTCATTGCTGCCTATTCCTTGTCCAGTATAAGAACCACTACCCAGAAGCATTGGACCAGGCCTTGGCATTGACATCATTCTAAGACTAGGTGAACCATTTTCAGTCAGACTACCTTGGAGACCAACATTTGCACCCATAGTTCCACGAGCACCAATATTCATCACAAAACTTCCATTGCCTCGATTTAAACCCATACCACCAAAAGCAGTGGAGCTCATGAAGGATGTTTCTGGTGACTCAGGTAGGTAGCTAAAATGCCTATCAAGAAGGGCACCAGAAGGAGCAGATCCAACATGTTGGTGGTGATGCGAACTAAGGAAAGAACCATGTTGACTGGAGTATGGAAAACCCTGTCCACTTGAAGAAAAAGGATGCCTAACTGATGATGCAGACCAAGCAGAACTAGAACTCTCAGAGTAATGAGTAGGACTTCCCCAGAGAAACTGAGGACCAGTTAATGTTCCAATACCAGATGAATTTGGATTGGATTCACCAAAAGCAGAGACTGTACTTGCACTTATTTTCCGGTCAGGCAAGGAATGAGAAAGCTGATAGGCTGCTCCTGGCACTGTTCCACTGTTGGTAAATACCTGGCTCTTATTGGTACCTTTTCCTAGGTCCTTACCAATAGGCGCCATCTTAGGAGAGTTAGACAAATGAGGTGGGAGAATTGAAGCTAGCCCAGGCAAACTGTTGTTGCTTACAGGACTGAAAGCACCCAAACCTGGAGAGCTACTAAAAGCATGTAAAGAATTATGTTCAACAGGGCTGCCAAACTGTGTCCAGTTCCCTGTCAAAGAAATGCCACTTCTTCAGCTGATAACAAAAATTGCATCCATAACCAAAGCAGCATGAGATTAATTAAATTAATGAGAACAAAGATGAACTTATAGGAGATCTAGGTTATTACCAGGGGGAGAATTTGCAACAGGAGAACCTACATGGTGACGAAAACTTCTAACATCATCTAGTTCCAGCTCCTGACTAAGTTGCTGCATCAAGCTGAAATGGAAAGTGCTGCATAATTAATCTCTGTACCACTAATAATAATAACAACAACAATAAGAAGAAGAAGAAGAAGAAGAAGAGCAAGTTCATGCAAATTTGATTGGAGAAAATGGTTCATGTCAAAGTTCCAGCTTAAACACCGACATGAAAGTAGATGCCAAACTTATTACAACTAAAAGAGCAATTATAGAGTTTAAGAATAGCATTAATATTCACAAATTTACAGAACATGTTGGATGCACAAAAAAAGTTGCTCACAGAAAATATAGGAAACATGTATAAATCTTAAATATAAAATTTAATTCGATTAAAGAGGAAAGCAAATTTAGCATACCCTACAGTTACCAGAAGCAAATTCCAGTCAGCACCCTGAGGAACAGCAGTTCCAAAGGTGCTAGAAGAAGCTTAAACCACTGGATAAAGGCCTCATTGGCCACATGTTTGCAACTAGAAATTCTGAATAGAGCTCAAATTTAAAGGTAAATATAGTCTCTCAGGCTCTTTGTTTGAAGAAAAATTATTACCCCACAGCCATCTACTTCTCTTAAACATAGTTAACTTACATTAAATTTGGCACAAAAAATAAAAGGAAAAGGTGGAACTAGCTGACTGGCCAAAAAAAAAGGCAGGCCTAGCTGGCTTAATCATAAAACAGAAATATGGTAAACTTGGATTAAAGTGTCTCCTTCCTGTACGGAGTTCTTTCCAAAAGTGTTGCTTCAGTACTTGAAAACTACCTGACAATTATCCTCGTCTAAGATAATTTCAGAACATACTTTTAAAAGTTAAGGTAAAATGCCTTAAAATCAGAGAGGTTTAGGAACCTTACTTGTGGAACGCTTTTATGAATCAAAAGAATCTTTACTAAAAATAACAAGAAAACCAACCTTTAATCACTTGACAACTTACATATTTGTGTCATGTTAGGAAATCTTAATCTCTTTATATGTGTATTTGATTTTCAACCATCAAAGTTAAATACACTGTTCCACTTCATAAAAAATGAGTATTTAAAAATGGTTTAAATCTACACTGAACTTCATAAGGAACAAATACATTTATTTCAATCACCTATACCCATGTAGTTCTCACCTATGTATTTGAATAAATTGATTCATGCATATTGAAATTCCTGTTCCCAAATGCGACTTAATTTTTTTTTTCTTCATTGTGGAACAACCTCTATTAACACTTTTGTCAACTAATAGCATGATACTAACTTAAAAGGATTCATCAAACAAATAATATTCTGGTCAATATGCTGAACATTTTTATCTTTTCCTCAAAACTCAATGCCTACAAACAATTGTATGAAAACTGATTGGTACTTACTTTCGACGGGCTCCACCAGGACGGCTAGGTTCAAGCTTTATCCGCTTTCCAGCTATGTCACTCCTATTCAATGCTTTAAGAGCAGCCTCTGCAGATCTAACATCATAAAATTCTATGAATTTATGGTGCCGCTTATGTGGTGTCTCCCTGATCTGCATTTTCCAGCATTGGCATAAATCCTCGGCAACAAGGAAGCCATGGTATAACGATGATAAAATGATTGTAGGATGTGAATGTACAAATAAAGCAAAAGTTATACCTCTTTGACCTCCCCATAAGCCCCAAATATTTGACGAAGACCATCATTTGAAACGGAAGGATCCAAATTGAATACTACAAGAGTTCCTTGATTTATATCCTTCTCAGATGGGTTATCCTGGTATGCACAAAGAAGACAATACTTGTTACTTGGACAAAAAAATTAATCAAATCCAAGCATTAAACAAAACATCTCACTTCAAACCTTGGGAATTGAAAAATGGATGTCCAATTTTCTTCGCCTCAGGGGCTTATTCTGTAATGCACGCATTGCAGTGCGTGCTGCTCGAATATCATAGTATGAGATCATCACAAAACCCCTATGCTTGCATGCAGTGTATAAAGTTCTGATGTCACCATATTGCTACAAGAAGAGTTTAAGTATCAAATACAACATTAAGTACCAGCCAAGTAAAACCAAATATGCAAAACAATTTGCAACATTCAAATGCATGAAAGGCACCAACCAAGATTCTACTTGGTCAAGTATCCACACAAGGGATATTACCAACATAATAACCAAATACAACTAAAGTAGTTTAGACATAGACTAATTTAGAATACCTCAAACAAGGATCTTAATTCAGAGTCCTCAACATTACTATTAATATTCCTTACGAACAATGTTCTTGAAGGATGCTCTCCATATGGATGTTCCCCAGCCACAGTTCCAACACCATTTGAAAGAGGATAATGACCAATCCCATTTGCAGCAACACCATCACTTATATTCAATTTGGAAAGACCAATATTGACGTTCTCTTGGGATTCACAATCCAATTCCATTCCTCCACCACTGCCAAATACGTCATATTCTTCCAAGTCCTCCAATTGAGTAGGCAACCCACTTAAATCAAAATCATCCATTAATCCAGCTAGGAGCTCATCATCATCAGGCAGCAAATCTCCAAGTCCATTTACCTCAACGTTTTTGAGTGGATCCTTCTCTTCATTTTCCAGCTCTAATTTATGCAACCTAGGTGAGTTTGTATCAACAGAATGCCCAGAATGCTCTGACTCTGCAAAGTTCACTGGACGCAAGCAGAAAGTTACCTCAGCACCTCTTTTGAGAAAAACATAACCTACAAAATTGTTGTACGAAAAACTAAGACATACATTTTTCATGTGGAAGAACAGGTAATGAGCTAGAAAACAAACTTGCATCACTTGATGCATGATATGAATTCGTTCCAAGAGGGATTCCCCACGCACCACTTCCAACCTTGGAAATATCAACTGGAGTGTTGGATGGACCTAAATGCAAGTAAAAATGACAATTCAATATATAACACAATTTGGTTAAAGATTGTTCAATCTTATAAAGTAACTACATCTTGGTTTCACTACATGATAAAAGAGATAGCACCTTCAGATTTTCTAGGAGTCAAATCCTTCAAGTGTTGCTCCATTTAATCAATTTCTGCTAACAAACAGAATTTCACATAAAACTATTAAAGGGATCATACATGAAAACAAAGAGAGCAATTGAAATGGTAGACATTGAAGACAATGCAGGAATCAGAACAGGTAATGATGATGCATCTACAAGAATTCACAGAGTTTTGAAGTTTAATGAATTCAAACACACATTAATGATGAATAGAACAGGTAACTGCCCTATCATATAGCATCTAGAAGGAGCACAGAGAGTAGAGTGCCTCAAACACAAGAAATTCCTGATAGTGCTTCAGTGATCCTCAGTATTCTCCAGCTGAGATAATGTTTATCAAACCATGACCTGATAAGACTTTTAGATTCAATCAATTACCCAATAATGCAATAGAGAGACAAAAATTCTCTTGAAGCTTTCTATCTTAACCCCCCTCCAAAAAATAAAAATAAAAATAAAAAAGCCAAAATTCCCCATAATCATCCATATGACCAAACAAGTAAACCCTCTAAGATCAGGAGCAGATTGAAAAAATGTCTACAAGATCAAACATGCCAAGAGTCATGAACAAAACAATACCAGAGAAACGTGGCAGCAGTAAGTCCACACCCACATAAATGGAAAAATTATCCAACATATGTTAAAACCGTATTAAAATCTAATCAATACAGCTAATAGAGAGACAAAGATCGAACTAAGCAGCTCATGAGCTCCACCCACACCAACAAATACATTTCTAAGCTCAAAATTTACCATAATCAGGCCCCATCTATAGTATCTAGCATATCCCCATTAACACCCACCTACTCAAAACCCAATCGACTCAACATCACTCACTTTATCACTAATAATTATTCAAATTTTTCTTAAGAAAAAGAAGAAAACCAACACCCAAATACCCCAATCAAACAATCACAAAGAATAATCAAACCCCCTTTGACAAAAACTAATATTTACCTCCAAAAATAGGAGAGTACAGAGAGAAAGAGAGAATACCTTTAGAAGAAATGTGGAAAAGAGTGGCTAGAGGGAGTCCACTTGAGATGGAAAGTGGGCAGATTCCAAATAAAGTTTTTGTCTTGATCACTCAGAATTATATATAAACAAATAGAGAGAGAGAGAAAGAGTTTCGTAGAAGCAGAGAAATTTCTTTCTTAGACTCATCTACTTCCTTCTCCCTCGCCGGGAAACAAGAAAATTCAACTCACTACTTCTTTATATTAACTACTGAAGGGAAAGGGAAAGGAAGAAAGGAGGAGAGTAGAGAGAAAGTGCGAGAAAATTTTATGGGGCAGAGTGGAAAATGAATGATTGGAGGGAAAGAAAATTCATTGAGAGAATTTTATAAAGGAAACTTCTGCTCAATTTAATTTCTGTTTGGCGTCCGTTAACACAACAACAAAACGCAAAACGACAACACTGAGAAATATGTAAAAAAAAAAAACAAACACAAGATAATTTCAGTCAATATATATGGCCTTGGAGTTTCTTTTAGTTACGGAGATTGCCATGACGGCGTATAAAAGGGTGGATGAGGTGTCAGTGGATTATTGGATGGAGTATTTTTTATGTTGTACTGGTGCGGTGGGGACGACTTACGTGGGATATTGCGTCGTCAAAAGTGATTGGATTCAGCTATACCGTGTGCGCCGGTAAGACACCTTTATGAATAATGAGTACCAATCAGGTTTTGCCACGACTGTGGGACCTACCGCCCGTGGGCCTCAGCAGAAGAACTTATTATTTACTGTTTTTTACTGATAATAACATAATTATAACATTATGTAATATTATAATTTAATAATATAATATATTATTAATTTATTTTTTTACTGTAGGTCTTATATGTAAGGTCGATTATATAATTAACGTATTTTTATTAAAAAGTTTATTTATAATATTATATATAATTTAATTATATATTATAATTATAAATTTATAATTAGAATTCTATAAGATATTATCTATGGTATTGTCAATTTTGATAGAGTTAAAAAGCAAACTTTGCTAAAGATTTTTTGAAAACATTTAAATTTGGTATATACATTATTTTTCTTCCTAAATATTATGATTATCAAGTGAAATTTTAAGGAAAAATATTTATAAGCTAGACTTCCAAAAAATTAAGTAGAATATTTAAAACTATGATGTTTTTATAAATTTTAAATTAAAAGAATTAAAATAACTTATTTTAAAGCAAAAATAATATTATTTTGATCATTTTAATGATACTTTACTAAAATGACATCATTTTAAAATATTTTTTTACCTAATCTTTTGTAAGTCTAATTAATAAATACTAATATTTTTAAGTTATTCTCATTTTTTTTTTTTTTTTGATCAGCAAGTTATTCTCATTTAACTCTATTGAAGGTCATTTTTGACAAGCGAAAAGACAAATTTACATCACTGCTCATGTTAAATCGTTAAATCAAATTCTCACTTAAACGTGGGTACATGTCTGCCAGAACAATGAACATGGGTGCATGTCTGCGAGAACAATGAGATGGACAGGAAACAACTTCTCGGCAAAAACATGTCAAGGTCTCCATTATCATAAGGACAGAACAAATCTTGGAAGCCATTGACTCCTTGCGTTCCATAATCCATTAGAGAGATGAGCCATTCTTTAACAATCACTTCATGCAAGGTGCACTACTAGAAAACGGGCATAAATGACTATTATAATCGATAGCTAAAATTTTGTCGATTATAGTCATATAATTGACAGAAATTCTGTTTATTATGTTTGTTTGTCGATTATATTCCCGGATTAATGGTTTAATCGACGGTAATTATAATCAACTGTTTGTTTATCAATAATATTTATATAGTCGATAGGAAATTGACCGTTGAATATGTCTTGGTTGTCGATTATGTTTTCAACATATTTGGTAGAATTTTTTATGGTTAAAGTGAAACATGACAACGTATTCTATTTTTTGGTAGGATAATTATACATACACCCAAACAATCAACACCTATTTCAACACCCAAGGCTAAAATGAGGAGGGGTAAATTTGTAATTTTATTGTTCATAAACCTTGGGTGTTGAAATGAGTGTTGATTGTTTTGGTGTATGTATAATTGTCCTTTTTGGTATAATCGGCAACTTTGGCCGTCAATTATGCTTGGTCATTATACCCCTTGTTCCTCACTTTCCTTATTTTCTTTTGTTTTTCCTCTCGATCAGCTTTCTTCTTTTGTGAGGTTAGCTTTTGTCGTTCATGCTGCCCTGAGTAGCTGACCCATGCACATCCTACTCTTCAAATCCCCACACCATTGATGGTGATTTTGTAGCTTTCTTCGTAGATTTAGATGGTTTTCTATTTGGTTTTCCTTAGATTTACAATGCGTACTCGCTATTTTTCTTGTAGATTTGAGCCCCAAAAGCATACTCTAACAACTCCACATCACAACATTGGCCAAAGGAGCTAATTGCTGCTGCCACCACCACCTTGCATGAAAATCAAGCACACAATCCACGATTAGTTTTCCCACTGAATTTTTTGATTTGGATCGAGAAGAGAATGTAGAAATAGGGATAGAATCAGGATGAGAAAGATGAGAAATTGCAAAAAAAGAAAGTTAAGAGGAAGAAAATGATACAGACTAAAAGAGAAGATTGAAAATCCTTTTTTTTTTTTTTATAAAATGTAAAATATTATTTATCCAATACAATAACATGATACATAAAGAAACAAATTTCATATAGCCTAACCAACACACTTGAAACTTGGAAGGTGATATGATCATCTCATTTGCCAATCCTACAAACATCTATAGCTAAAACTTTATAGCTAGAAAATTACATATTGCTATAGAAACAAAACTTAAAGCTAAAACTAGAAATTAGCTTCAGAAAGTAATACCTATAGCTATCAAAATTGTATGTAGCTACAAAGTATATTTGTTGTAGCCACTATTGTCTATTAGCTACCATTTTATTTCTTATAGCTTAAATTCGCAGCTATAGATACAAATTGTAATAGTGGATTTGGAAGTATTATGTTTGAGATTGAGGTTGAGATGCATGTAGGTGTTGTACTAAAGTGATTTATATTTAATTTCTATATATAAAGTTATTTATCGTAAATTATTGAATTAGAATGATATTTATATTTATTTTTTATATGTAAAGTTATATATTTCAAATTTGGATTTGGATCTATAAGAGCCCATTTTTCATTTTTGTAGATTCAAAATCCAACCTTCATTGCCCGTACCTTACCACCCCAGGTAAAGACTGCTACTGCCTCGCCCCTCCTTGCCTCTTGGATGGTCAGTTTCTTCACCGAAATTTTGGAGAATTTTGCACTGGTTTTTGGATTTATAGTAACTTATCCTTTGTTTTCTTTACATATTTTAGATCTCAATCTAACCTGTACAGCATTCTCGTACCCATTGCTAGAGGTAAGTGCAGTTTTTTCCATATATATGTTATTTCTTTCAATTGTTTTGAGATTGAGATATGTATGGTAATTGAAGTGTTATTTTTATTAAATTTGTATATATAAAGTTTAGGAATTTTGGATTATTGCATTTGAAATTGAGGTTAAAATGTGCATGGCTATTGAAATATAGTGATATTTATATTGAATTTCTATATATCAAGGTATTTATTTCAAATTATTATTTTTGGAATTGAATTTGAGATATGTGTATTAATTGAAGTATTTTTTAATTAAATTTTTATATAAAAAGTTTGGGATTTTGGAGTATTGCATTTGAGATTGAGGTTGAAATTGATATTAAGATTGAGGTTGAGATGTATATGAGTATTGAACTAGAGTGATATTTGTACTAAAGTTTAATATATTAAGTTTTTTGTTTTTAGTTATTGATTTTGGAATTATGTTTGAGACTGATATTGAGATATGTATGCTCGAGGTATTATTTTAATTAAATTTGTAGATATAAAGTTTAGGGATTTTGAGGTATTGTGTTTTATATTGAAGTTGAAATGCATATGGGTATTGAACTAGAGTAATATTTTTATTGAATTTCTACATATAAAGTTATTTATTTTAAATTATTGAATTTGAGATTGAGATTAAAATGCTTATTAGTTGTTGAATTAAAGTGGTATTTGTATACATTGAATTTCTATATATCATGTTATTTATTTTAAATTATTGATTTTGATATTGAGATTAAAATGCTGATTAGTTATTGAATTAGAGTGATATTTATATATATTGAATTTCTATATATTAAGTTCTTTATTT